AGCCCATGCTCCACAACAAGAGAAGCCGCTGCAACAAGAAGCCTGTGCACTGCAATGAAGAGCCCCCACTCACCACAACTAGAGAAAGCCCACGCGCAGCAAGGAAGACCCAACACAGCCAAAAATAAATAAATAAAACATAAATAAATTTATAAAAAAAAAACCCTTGACTCGCAACTCTCACGTTGCACATAATTTTAAAGTCAACATCAGCAAGGCCTTTCCTGACTACTAGAACTGAACCCTCACCCCAACCCCTTACATCCTATGCCCCACCCCAGCTTCATCTTCCTCTATAGCCTCACCTTTCACTGTACCATCCATATTGCCGAGTCATCTTGTTTATCGTCTGTCTCCCACGGAATGTCAGCAGGATCGCCCTTAGACTGGGCAGGAAGGGCCTTCGCCCTGTGCATTAGAAGGCTCTGCTCTGGCCCTCCTGCCCCTCCTATGGAGCTAAGGAGCTGTGACTGCTAGAACCTGTGCCCCCCACCCTGCCCTCTAGACCATTCCCTGCATAAACTGTCCCAGGCCCTCCCCAGGTCTGTCCTGAGGGCAGCCAGCACAGCCCAGGTGTGTACTCCTAGGCCCAAGGGGTGGTCAGTGGAAAGCTATTTGTGTAGGTCGGTAGACAGAGCTTGGACAGGTGGGCTGGGGAATACATACACACACACACATGTGCACAAGGACCCTCATGGTGTAGGATGGAGCCTGGGGTAGGTAGAGTAGTAGGCTGACCACCGCTCCTGGGCTGGGGTCTAACTCTGCCCATGCAGCCGCATTCTGCCTAGTACTCTAGGTGTCTGGGAATCCAGATTAAAACCTGGCCTTCCGGATCGCCATGAAGACATGCTTGTCTATGTAGGAAGATAGGATATCTTTTATTTAACAGTTTTTGACCGAGACTCACATGGTAGGTGGGCCCTACACATTTTTTTTCCCGGAGCCCCCCATATATTAGGGCTGGGATTTTTAAGTTTTCTGCATTTCTGTATCCCCTGCAACCTAGAACAGTGCCTGGCATAGAACGCATACTCAATTAACAGTTGTTAAATTAAGGAATAAAGAAGTCCTGGGGTGATGCCCCACATGCCCCAGATGCAGTTGGAAATGCTGTGGCTTTTGTGTGTCAGGACCTTAGAGTCTCAGGGTCAGGTGGGGCCAGCTCTGCTGTGGAGGAGGCTAGGCCATACCTGAAGAGCCTCCTCCACTGCCTGCCTGCCCCATGTTCCCAATGTAGCTGGAGTTTTTTCCTACTGGTAAAAAGAGCGCATACTAGGGAATTAAGGAGACCTGGACCCCAAAACTGTCTCTGTCACTTGTGTGAAGGGCACGGCCACATGTGTGGCCGCATGCGTGAAGGGCACGGCCAGTCACCACCCGATAAACAGTGACCGCCGCCACTTTCACCGTCACCATCACCATCACAGTGTCCAAGGCAGTTCCTGCCGCACGGCAACCAGTGTGGCTGTTCCACCCTCAGCTTCCCTAGCCCTCAGCGGCCAGGCTGGGAGGCGCTGGCCGTGCTGTGGTTCGAGTGGATGGTGCCCTCTGCTGGGCGCAGAGGGGAAGGGCCTTCGGGGAAGCCACAGCCACCCTAACCACGGACGTCCCTTTCTGCAGTTGGAACGCTAAGGGTAGGAAGGGCTGTTTCCGCCCAAGCTGTGAGTGTGGAGATAAAGGAGCAGCACCCAACGCTGTCAGTCTGTCAGCCACCACCATGCAGTGACAAGAACAACACTTAGGCAGCGCTCCTGTGCCAAGCACCGTTCTAAGCGCTTCACAGATACTGACTCATTTACTCCTCCACCTTCCAGGTGAAGAAAGTGAGGCACAGAAAGGTTAAGTGATTAGCCTAAGGCATCGTGCCTGGAGGTGCTGGGATTTGAACCTGTGCCCAGAACCACGCCTCCTGGGTGGATTATTTTCGTGGGAGGTGGGAGGTAGGCTCTGCCTTTAGCCAGAAGGAGTGGAGCCCCCAGTGAGTCTGGAACTGGACACAAAGGGCGTGAGCTGCCCAAGGGGCTTCCCAGGGTGACTGCCCCCACCCTTTCAATGGCAGGACCGTTGCCCGGCTGACCTCAGGGCCCCCCCTTACTGGCCATCCCTCAGCATTTCCCTACCTGGGTCTTCTTGCTGCATCCCTGTGTGGGCCTGTGGTTAAGGAAAGTCCATGTCTAGCATAGGAAGCCAGGAATTTGAGGCCTCAGCTACTTGCCAACCTTCCGGGGATGAAATCCATCCCCTCAAGCCCCTTCAGGGACTGGCAAAGCCCACCTGGTGAGATGGCTCCTATCTTCAGCCTTTTGGGGAGGAAAAAAAAGATTGTCAGGTCAGCCACCAGGGAAAAGGCATGGTGAGAAGTGAGGCTTGGGTTCTGCCCATCTCTGCCCCGCTGGAGCGATCTTGGGGAGTCCCTGCTTTTGGAACCTCTATCTTTTCCAACCTGAAAAATGACAGGGGTAGATTGGGGGCAATTTTCAAAATGCTCTGCATTTGGGTTCTTAAGGAGAAACACTGGGAGGATGAGGCCAAAGGCAGGTCTCTGGGCACCCTGACTCCTTCTTCCCACAGCTTTACTTCAATTATTTTCTTTGTTGGACTTGGGTTCTGCAACTTTGGCTTTAAGTCTGGGGGAAAATCATTTAATAGAATGAGCCTGAGGGGTCCTTTCAGCACCAACCCGTCTGAACCCTCCACTTAGAATTAGGCAGCCTCGATCACAACCAGGACCACAGGCCCCCTCACCCCTCCCCAGTTGGAGGGCTGGCTTTTTTCTTTTTCGGCTATACTGCGTGGCACGCAGGATCTTAGTTCCCCAACCGGGGAGCGAACCCACACCCCCTGTAGTGGAAGCGCGGAGTCTTAACCACTGGACCGCCAGGGAAGTCCAAGAAGGCTGGCTTTGAAGCATCTGAGGAGATGGATGCTCCAGGGAATTTATTTTATCATTGTTAAGGGCGAAAAACTACAAGTACTAATGTCCATGGATGGCAGTAAGATTACATACATGCCAGCACATCCCAACTAGATGTGATGGAGACGATAAGGCAATCCTTTTACATCCTGTTATGAAAATATATAATGCAAAATGTGTATGTAACGCATAGGGGGGAAAAGATTGGAAGGATGCACGTTCAACTGTTAGACCTCAAACTGTGAAAGATTCACATTCAGGGGAGGCAGAGCAAACATGCAGGTGGTCCCCATTGGTATGGGCCACACTGGTTATTTACAGTCAGCACTCACTCAGTGGTTAGCACTGGAGACCTACCAGCTGCAAATAGTTTGACTTATTATTATAGGCCCTAAAGACCAGAGTCCATTTTTCAGATGAGACGCAGGTCCCGAGTGAGAGAGTGACATAACATCCAGCCCTGTCACACAGCCCAGGCTCGTTCCTTCCAAGTCACTCAGGGGCTGGTGGCGGGTTCCATCACCAAGGGAATCCAGATCCACCCGCAGAGACGAGGCTTGGCTAGGAAAGGCTGCTTTTGCTCCTCCGCTCCCTCCAAAAATCTCAGGGGAGGAAGGCCAGCCTGCACAGTGGCTCCTTGGTTTTATTATTAGTCTCAGCTGAAGATAGGGTTTCAGGCTTTATTCAGGCTTCTCAGAGAGGCATTTAAGATAAGGGGCAGCAGGTGTTTGCTGGCTGAGACACCTAATCCTCCCCGCACAACCTTAGCAGCAGTAGCAGCAGGGCCCTGGTAGAGGGGAAGCTGAGGCTGCGGGAGCCAGATGCTGCAGCTTGAGGGAGAGGCAGGAGGTGCTGTGACCGTGGGCTCAGGTGCTACGGACCAAGGAGCTTTCTTAGCAGACTCAGTTCCCTTTAAACTTCCCCATCCAGGGCCTGAGGCTTCAGGACACCCACGGCCTCACGCTTCAGAGCCTTGGTCGTAAACTCACGGGTGCATCAGAATCACCTGGAAGGCTTGTTAGACAAGATTGCAGGGTCCTGCTTGCAGAGTTTCTGATTCGGCAGGCGATGCCGACGCTGCTGGCCCAGGAACCGCGCTTGGAGTACCATTGCTTTAAAGAATCAGTCACTCCTGCAGGAAGGACACATTGATTTCAACTTCAGCGACATTTTCAGCTTCACTTCGGATTCTTTTCTTCTGGTTCATTGCAAAGACAAATTTAAAACTTCGCTTTAACAAAGACACACATGGAATCCCTGCTGCCTCTTCATCCTTATTCCTGCATCTGTGCCCTGGTGTTGTCAGGAATGTTCCAATTTCATTGACATCCTGGGTGAGTTCTCTAATTTTCTGTCTGGCTTGATTTTGATGATGATCAGGCATCATTTAAAAAAAACACAATGAGGCCATTCTTTAAAGGAGGAAGATCCCCTCAGAGGGTGACTGTGAGGATTTGTTTAGAGGAAGTAATTGAAGTTAAGGGCTGTTTGGGTCTAAAAAGTACTGAATAAATGGTAGCTGTTACCAATGAACACAGATAGCGCTTACCATGTGCCAGATGTTAATTCACTTAATCTCCATGAAAACTCCCCATTTTATACATGAAAAATCTGAGGCAGGTAGAGGTTAAGGGACTTGCTGGGAAGGAGCGGAGCCAGATTCTCCCCAATCCCTGCCTTTCGACACAGAGCCCACAGAACAGGAGAGGAAATCTTCACGTACTGCACCACGTATGTGTGCAGCCACTGGTCCAGAAAAGACATCGCCTGCAGCCCTGGTGCCGCTAAGCCCAGGGGTAAGCAAGTTAACGGTTCTCACACAGAGTTAGCAGTTCTGAATCTGTAGGGAGGACAGCAGAAGGTTTGCCCCTACCTGGGCCTGTCAACAGATCCTGAGCTTCCTCTACCATCAGGAGGAAGCTGGGGGGAAGCCCGCAGGGCTAAAAGCATTTTCTCCCCCTTGCACAACTCTCAAAGTTCTCGAAAACCACTGAATTGTACACTTTAAATGGGTAAATGATATGGTGTGTGAATTACACGTCAATAAACTGCTATTAAAAAAAAAGTTCACTCCCCTGGCACCTCTGGGAAAAGTTCCTTTAATAAAAAAGTTCTAGTACATTTACAGCATTGTCATCACCCTTCCTCTACAGCACTCGATAGGGAAAGTAAAAAATAAAGGACCACCTAAACACGCTCGGTATAAAAACGCAGTAATCCATTCAAACAGGAGGCCTCGGGGTCCAGACATCAGAGAGAAATGCAACGCGTGAGGGCACATGAGCCAGGCAGCTCTGGCCTGGGCTTCTGGAGGACCCCAGGGGCGGCTGAGGACCTGGTTCTAACTTTTTGAAAATAGCATTAAAAAAAAAAAAAAAAATCCAGATTGCAATAAGAGGCCTCTTTCTAAGGAGGAGGGTCCATTCCAGAGAGAACGTCAACATGGGGGAGTCAGAGTCAGTCCAGGCCCGGTACACAGGGCTGAGCATCTTACGGCAGGGGAGAGACTCCTGGAAATTCAGCAGCCCTGGCCGAGGCTAAGAGGTTTTCACTGTTGAAATCAAACTGCCCGGGTCCCTCCATGCTGAAAGGCTTAGAAACCTGCCCCTTTAACGTCACGCCTCTTCCCTCCAAGTTGCTAAGGCTACTTCTCAACAAGCTTCGAAGTCCCTGGCCGAGGTGGGGACGGAGACCCCTTGGAGATGCAGCTGCGGGCCTGGTGTTTAGGCCCCCGGCGCTGCAGGCAGGGAGGCCTAGTCGTCCTGACCCCCGCCATACATGTCTGCCAGCTTCTTGAAGCGGCTGCCCCATTCATTCAGATAGTCGTAGTCTTGGTCCTGGTCGGAAGCAGAGGAGGTGAGCGAACTCAGGGAGGCGGCATCGGAGCCGCTGCCCTCATAGTCGAACACCAACAGGGAGTCATAGGGTGGGGCCGTGGGGTCCGTGTTGGCCGCCTTCAGGTTCTGGGGGACAGAGAGCAGGGGGTTAGGAGCTGCGGGATCAGACACCTGGCAGCTGTGAGAGCCCCGGCAAGTTAACTGAGCCTGCATTTCTCCATCTGCGAAGCCAGCTCTCCCCTCCTTTAAGGTTTTGAAGGTTGAAAATGAAATAATGCACATAAATCCTCAGCACAGGGCCCAGCCTGGAGCGAGCGCTCAGTGTGACAGGCCAGCAGTTCAGGGTGGGGGCTCTGAAATCAGACTGCACACACGATGTGTAAACTTAACCTCTCCGTGCCATTTTTTCCCCCCTCATCTCTAAAATGGGAAGACTTCTTATAGTTTTAGAGGAATAAATGAATATACGTAAATATAAAAGCACTTATTAGCATAGTACCCGGCATATAGTGGAACACTATTTCCTCATTTGTGAAATGAGGAAGACAACAGGTTTCCTACTCTGCAGAGTTGATGCAGGCAGGCATTAATTGAGACAGTATCTGCAAACTGTCCAACACAGATATTCCAGAAACTGTCTTCATCTAACTGGAGGGAAAATCTCCTGGTTATTTGGCTCCAAGGCAAAGTTGCCCTGAGCAACTTTCCCCAGCCACTTCTGTTTTTGCACAGGATTCTCAAATATGCTCAGGCTAAAGAACAGAGTCTGACCACCAGGCTATTTCTAGAAAGCAAGAAAGGTAAGAAGGGTTCAAGCCAAAGTGAGGTATCCTGACCACCCATTGAGCTCTGTGCCCACTGCTGCTTCCTTGAACTCCCCAAATCCATCCATTCTCCCCTCCTTCCTTCTTTCCTCCCTCCCCTCCCATCTCTCCCTCCTCCTTCCCTCCCTCGTATTAAAAACCTCCTTTAACTGACTGCTATCAAGGTACCAGGCTGTGCTAGGCTCATATCACTCATCTTCTATGTACCTAGGTTGTGGTTCTCACAACCCTGGCTATATATCTGATTTCTTTGGGGAACTAAAAAAACATCAGAGCCTAAAAAAATGAACGTCTGGGTCCCAGGCACTGATATTTTTCAAAATTCCTCAGATAAATCAAATATGTGACCAGAATTGAGAATATCAGATACACTTAGCTATTAGCAACAGTAGCTATCATTACCTAATACATGTTAGGTACCAGGCCAGCGGTTCCCAAACTTAAATTATCTGGGAATCTTTAAAAGAATTCTGAAGCTCCAGTCACATCCGGATCAACTGAATCACAGTCTCAGGGGGTGAGTCAGAGGCTCCGTTTTTGATGTTCCCTGTGCTAGCACGGTTCCAAGTGATCCTGCATCCAACCCCTAAAGCACCCTACGACAGAGGACACCAACTCTGCTCCAGATTGGAATCACCTGAGATCTTTAAAAATTCAAATCCAGGGAGTCTGGCTCCAGAGTTTTCTCCTGACAACCACTACATTTGCTGAATAAAAAAATAATTCCTAACCTATTCTTAACCACTCTGAAACTTAGGGTTTTATGGAGGAGGAACAGAAGCTCAGAAGTTACTCAAATATGCCAGAGGTCATACGGCAGGTTGGAGGTAGAGTCAGGATTTGAACCCAGAGCCAAGACTCCAAGCCCGTCTGTGCTCGTGCTGCTGATGCTTGAATAAAGGGCTGCCCTAGGATGGCCCCCCATGCCTCACCTCGATGATGAAGTTGCCAATTTCATCTGGGTTGGCTGGCCGTGGACGGTATGCGGGTGTGGGGATGAAGGTTGGCACCACATCGTTGCGGAGAACCAACTCAGGCCGGGCCTCCAGGCCCCGGTGGAGTTGGGTGATGTCATAGTCCTTCATGAAAGGGGAAGGTCATGGGATGGAGAAGGACCCTTCCACTCCCCCCGTTTACATTTCACCCTAGTTCCGTACCATTTGGATGTTCTGGTTCATGGGTAGGTCTTAGAAGACAGATAATGTCAGAGATCTCTGAAAGCCCTAGTTTCCAAACCCCCTCCTCCCCAGTTAAGCACAGGTTCAAGGTCAAGGTGGCTGGGGCCGAAGAGACTAGAGCCATGGACCAGACACCCTCTCAGAAGACAGATGCTTCAGACCAGGGTCTGGTTGACGCAGCTGACATGGTTAATTGGTTGACCCAACCATCCCTGCCAGTGGCTGTGGGGGCCATCCACCTCCCGACCCCCAGACCCCCCAGTGCCCCACCTGGTCCTCCTCGCCACCCCCCTCTTCGCCGTAGTAGAAGACGTTGTCACGGGTGTCGTCTTCTGGGAGCAGAAGGGGCTCCTTGATCTTCCGTTTCTTTCTCACCAAAAACAGGAGCACCAGCAGGAGGACTGCAAGAGATGGGGAGTGTGAATATTCACCCCCCAGCAACCACACGGCTGGCCAGGACCCACAAACCCCCAGACCCCCATCTAATTCTAGACCCCTCTATTCAGTTGCCAGAGCTTAACACACTTCAGTGGCCCCCTTGCACCTAGGAAAATCCCTGACTCCCATCAAGCCTACAGGACTGGCCCCTGCCTGTCTCCAAGCCTCCCTGCCACCCAAGTCTAGTCACATTGGCCTCCTCGGGGTTCCTCAAATATACCCAGCAGTCTCCCACTTCAGAACCTTCAACCAGGCTCGTGCCTCACCTGGAACACTCTCTATGCCTATGCATGGCTCTCACCCTTGAGCTCTCAGCTTAAAATCACCTCTTCCTACTGGCATTCTGACTTCATTCCCCCACCTGTAATTCTGTATCATTTTACTGTCAGTCTTCCCATATTGGTGGTACTGGTCCTTAAGGAAACCCTCCTTTGTGGGGATGGGAATCTCCCAGCAGATGTTACTTTTCAACATGACTCTTTTTCAGTCACTAGGTGTCCTCTAATAACCATAGACTTTAAGTTAAAAGCAAGACAGTGTGGGCTTCCCTGGTGGTGCAGTGGTTGTGGGTCCGCCTGCTGAGGCAGGGGACACGGGTTCATGCCCCGGTCCGGGAAGATCCCACATGCTGCGGAGCGGCTGGGCCCATGAGCCATGGCCACTGGGCCTGCGCGTCTGGAGCCTGTGCTCCGCAACGGGAGAGGCCACAGCAGTGAGAGGCCCGTGTACCGCAAAAAAAAAAAAAAAAAGCAAGACAGTGCAACTTTGATATAACGCAGTAATGTGAACTTAGGTGCAAATGCTATTTTGGCATTTTAAGAGAGGGACTAGGTTTTAGTAATATGGTTTGAAAGGCTGACAGTCTATTTGGACACAGTGGGGACTGGCCAGCTAGTGCCTAGTTGCTCGCCTTACCCCCAGTTAATCCCATATGAGGAGGGTACCCCCTGGCCCTCTCTATGGCTGTTTAATGTAAGAGGGTAGAGCCACTGTTTAGCTTTATCCCTTTTTTTGCCTGCCGGTGGAACCACTGTCTCCCTCTGGCCAGACAAAACTGACCTAGCCTTCTTTGGGAGCCCATGGGTTCTCACCTCCTTACCCAACTTTTTTTTAATCCATAGCAACACCTATTTCTCTGCCAGATTATTTGTCGTCTGCTCGCTGCACTGGAAAGTAAGCTCCATGAAGGCAGGGACTGGTCTGTTTTGTTAAGAGTTGTACCCTCAGCGTCTAACAGTGCTTGCTACACAGTATGATGACTAACTAAAGCTTGCTCTTGTATTCATATGTGATTGAATGCATGTTTTCTGTGTAAGGACAATTCAGAGAGTGAAAAAAGCAAATGTGATAGGTTCTACCTTTAGAGCAAAGAAATTAGTTTTTAACTAAACATTTCTGCTCACTAGACCAATGGCTCTCAAGCTCTAACATGCATCAGAATCCCCTGAAGGGCTTGTTAAAACACAGATTACCGGGTCTTACCCCTAAGCTTCTGAATCAGTAGGTCAGGAGTGGGCCAGAGAATTAGCCTTTCTAACAAATTCCTGGTGATGCTAACGCTGTTGGTTGGAGACCACGACTTCAGAACCACCGCTCTAGCCACTAGATGATCTGACAGCAGGGTCGAGTCTGCTCCCCAATGCATCCCCAAAGCCTGGCACCTTCCAGAACCTCCATAAACATCTATGGATTGAATGACACTCTGGGAATTAAGAGTTTAAGGAACAGTTGCACAATGTTGGTGGCCCCTTAGTCCGTGAAGTTCAGGGTAGAATCAGGTCTTCTAACTATCCTGTCCTCAGAAGGGGAAGGGTGCCGGCACTCACACAGCAGAGCCAGGACAGCACCCAGGATAGGGAGGAGGAAACTCCCCTTCCAGCGTTCGGGGCAGGTCTCCACATGGCCGTGGCAGTCGCACACGGTGGCCCTGATCACCGTCAGCTGTTCCTTGTTGCCGTGGTCGGACAGAGAAAGGTGCACGTCGTATGTGTCTTGCTTCAGGAACTTCTTCAGGAACAAGGCCACTGTGTCTCCTGGAGTGGACAGATAATTATTCATCTCAGGAGACCACAAATGGTGGGAACTGAGCACACCATGACGGAGGTTTGAGGAGGCAGCCTCTGCATCTGGGCAACAGGAAGCAATATCCCCAAAGCACATTATACCAAGTGTTAAAAACTGATATTCGGCCAAAGCCAAATTTACCACTGTGGAAAGGATTATTTGGATAGAAGAATAAATTCATCACTTTATTTAAAATGAATCAATAATCACAGCATTTTTTAAATACGATGTTTTTAAAAAGTCATGGCATGTAGAGCCAATAATTTCTCAGTACCATTAGCTGCTAGATTATTCCTTGCCGCAAAACAAACAAACATTGTTCTTCCTAAAAGATAGCTAACCCAATCTTTTAATATTTACATTAACTGGCCACCTGCTTTCCTATTTGAAAATTCACTACCATTTATTATTGCAGCATTTTGCTCTTGCAATAGTAAATATAATGTTTACACCTCAACTGTACGATAGAATTTCAGTATCCAAAACACGGATATTCTGAGTGAGCATCAATTATTAATAAATCCAAAATGCATATGACTTGGTGATGTAACTGATGTTGTTAAGCAGATCAGAGAGGGTGCTAACCTGTGTTATCCCAGCATTAGTGACTGCACACAAGTTCAGAGATGCCGGCAGTGAGGCTGCAATGGGCACTGTGCTAACCAGCCTTCAAAGGCCCGGGGTGGGCAGCAGGCAGCCACAGAGCAGAAGCCAAGCCTCAGTGCGGCCTGCACGACGGGTACCACTCTGGGGAGGGTGTGCAGCACTCCTGGAGTGGGGAGGGGGGCTGTGTTTGCGGGTGAGAAATACAGAGTCAGAGGCCTCTCTGAAGAAAGGCCTTTCGTTTAGACCCAAGTTTCTCAAAGAGGGCACTATTAGCTTGGATGGAACTATTCTTCATCATGAGGAACCTTCCCGAGCATTCAAGTCCTCACCACTAAATGTCAGTAGTGTCCCCCCATCACTGGGACATTCAAAACCAACCCCACGTTTCTAGCCCACCCACCTTCAGGCTTGCTGGCCTATTTCAGCAGTGACCTCAAGCCATTTTCAGTTCAAAGGCTCTGCATGCTTGCTGGGACCCTCTTAGTTAAAAGGCCAGAAGGGAGAATTCACCCTGTTGCCATTCGGCAGTGGCAGGCAGAGAGAGTTCTGTAGGCTGAATGTTTGGTCTACCAAGTGGAGAGGCTAACATGGGGTATTTCACCCAAACATCCCTCCTGCTATCCTGTTCCCACGCTGGAGGGCTGAGTTCTCAGCTGATGATGGTGCTGGTGGCGGTGTCAGTGACTAAACTGACACTTACTATGTGCCAAGCCCAACTCTGATATCCACCCGAACTTTAAGAGGCAGGTTCTGTTATCCTCATTTTACAAATGCAGACATTGAAGCTTAGGGAGGTCAAGTAAGCAGCCCAAGGTCACACAGGTGTAGAGTTTGGATTAACTCCTCTGACAAAAAAACACAGTCAGATAGAACAACTAAGTCAAAACCAAGAACCGGGTATCAATGCTAGTATCAGGTGTTGGCACCACTGAGCTTTGGGCCTAATGCTCACACTTGACAGAGTCAGATCTGTGATTGTTTGGGAAACAGTGGTGGTGAAGATGGCCACTGACGTCTACCGAGCACTGATATATCAGACAAGATGCCTTTCAGGCACTCATTTAATCTTCACAGTGATTGTATGGAGGTAGGTACTATCATGGCAGCATTCTACAAGTAGGGAAACTGCAGAACAGTGAGGTTCAGTAACTTGCCCACAGCCACGAACCTCGTAAATGGAAGGGCTGGATCTTGAACCAAGGCATTCTGGCTCCAGAGTCTACGCTCTGTAAACGATACAGTCAGGGCGGGGGAAAATTGGCTTCTAGGCCACAAGGTGGTGACAGGAGACCAACTTGGGTTCCCTCAAGGAAAGGTGCTGGATAAACATCCCCAAATCACGGGAATCATAAAAATGAGACAAGATGTGTGTCTGAAGCAGGTCTCCCCAGTCCTTTCTGGGCGGGGCTCAGCAGCAGTAATAGGTACCAGGCATTTTGTTACTTCGGGGCAGAGCCTGAATGTTCTGGCTCCCCATTCCCCTCCTGGGGGACTCTAGCCCCAAGAGGAAGAGGAAGATGCTTTAAACCAGAGTGAGCAGGGTTCCTCCAGGGGCCTTACTGGCACTTGGGCCTGGATGCCTCTTTCTCACACACCTGGGTCCTTGCCCACTTGATGCCAGCAAGTCCCTTCTCCAGTCCTGTGACAACTGAAAAACCACTCAAGGCTGAGGAGCTCCAGGGGGATGGGAAAGAGGAAGGACAGGGAGGTGGCTGGGAGCAGGGATGTGGGGGTGAGGGACCCCAGCTTCAATTTCTGCTCCACTGCTTATCCACACTGTGCCCTTGGGCACACTATTTAGCCTCTCTGAGCCTCATTCTCATCTGTAAATAGGGATAAAAATACTGATCACAGAGGATGGTAGAAATATTAAATATGGAAAAGTACAAAAAGCATCTTGCATATCGCCAGGGTTTGATAAATGGTAAGCTGCAAAGCATCCTGGTATGGCAGACTGCCTGCATTCCAATCCTGGGGCCGTCATTTTCTAACCATAATGCCCTTGGCAATATATTTAAGCTTCTGTAAGCCTTGGTTTCCCCATCTGTAAAATGGGTACACATGCATGTATGTGTGAGATAACAGTACCTTCTTTACAGGGTTGTTGTGAGCCGAATCTACTTAAAGCACACATAGCACACAGCACATAGCACACAGCACCTAGCACACAGCCAGCATGCTCAGGCATGTTAGCTGTTATCCCCATGCTGGAGTTCTGACTCCCTCATTATGTGAGAGTGAGAAAGGCACATCCCATGTCTCTGGGCCTGTTTTTCCAATTGTACAGGCAGGTGGTTGAGCTAGAACGGTGTTTAAGGGCTCCTGTGGAATTCCAAAGGCTTACACTAAGTTAATAAGCAGCATTTAACTGACATTCTTGAGGAGACTGGTAATTCGGTGACCCACAAGACACTGGGGCAAGAAGGTGTGTCGGGTCTTGGTAGGGGGCAGACACCCATCTGCCACCACCACTCAGTTACCTTTCTCATTGACCTCTGCCGTCCAGTAGATGTCCGAGTCGTGTGTGAGCCGGGCCCGGAAAGGGGAGGTGTGGGGGGACAGGTCCTTGTCTGTGATGTTCAGCACCTGAGGCAAAGGGCTTTGGTTGCAGATGGTGATCTGACGGGGCTCAGGGACCGGGCCATGGTCGTTGACATCCATCAGTGTTAGCAGGAGGGTCCCCGTGCCAGTGGTGGGAGGGCTCCCTGTTTGTAATCACACACATGATCTCTTTTCAGCATGTGCCCTTGGTTGGGTTGATGAATCAATGTTAAGCTCTCCCAGGACCTACCCAATCAGCCTCAGGAGGGTCCTATTTACTATCTAACTGTAACCTTTCAAGAGCCTCTGAACACTAGCTTCATTATAGATCAAACCAGTGATGACAAATGCATGGCAAACATACCATCATTCTCATTTTGTGTCCATGGCAGACATTACTAACTGATCACAGCACAGTTGCAGCCACTTCATCCAGACAGCCACTACCAATCTATTACAAAGAGAAACCTATTGGCCACCTCAGGGTTGATGCAGTGTTTGCTGATCAGCTTCAGGGAAGTTTTGCTTCCCAGCCCTGCAGTAACCTCTCGCCTGCCTCCAGGCCTTGGTTCAGTATGTGTCAAATAGAGATGGTAATTACATCATCACCCCCAATCCTGTCATGGTGTGACATCACTAATCAATCATGACACTTTCCAGGCAGCCCTTTTCAATCATTCATAAGGGGAAACCAACAGGCCAATTCAGGGCTCAGTGAACCACAAACTTAGGCTGAAAGGAGTCTTCAGGATACTTCCTAACTCCTGGATCTTAGGGAACTTGAAACTAGCCAACCCTAGGACCACCCTTTAAAAGACCCCTCTGAGAGACCCCTTTGACCTCCCAGCTAGGATTGCTGACACCGCTTCCCCACACCACACTCTGTCTGTGGAGGGAACATGCGGTGTCCTTGGCTCCAAAGGTGCTCATGTGGAGGGGCTGGGAGGAAGCTCTCACCATCATCCGTGGCCAAGACCATGACTTCGTAGATGTTGGTCCTCACAAACTGCTCATCCTCACGGTCCAAGACCCCTGCAGCAGTGACCTGCCCACTGTCTGGGTCCATTGCTAGCCACCCTGCTGGGTCTCTCAGGATGTGGTAGCTGGAGCAGAAAAGTTGAGAAGAATCACACTCAGAATACTTAGAGTTCTGGAGTCATCATTCAAAGCCTCCTCATGCCAACAGGCAGAGGGTTTCATAGGACTCAGGGCTCCTAAGCAGGATTACGTGGAAAATGCATCTCACCCCCAAATGGGAGCCTGAGCAGAAGGTGGGGTCCCAGCAGGGACATATGAGAGGGAGCAGGAATACCTGTCCCGTGGACTTCAGCCACATGGAGGGTAGGAACGGAAGGCCCTGTACAGGGGTGACGTTCAAAATATTTAATAGTCTTTATGGCAATTAGAACAAACTCTGGCTATAATAAACAACCCATCCAACAGTACCCACGCATTTAGCTGAATTTAAGCCCAGCTCCTATGTACCTGATCTTCTGACTCCCGTTGTCGGGGTCCCGCGCGGTGTAGGTGCAGACAGGCTCGCCGATGGAGATGCCCTCCTGGACCTCAATGACTTTGGAGGGTGGGACGAACACAGGCGGCTCATTCACATCCTCCACGTGGACCACTATGGTGGCCGTGGAGGTTGGGAGCTTCACCACAAAGGGAGCCTCGTTGATCACTTCAACGTACAGGTTGTGCTGGTTTTTGGCCTCGAAATCCAAGCCCTGGGACAGAACAGGAAGGAGGACCTGAGCTGCCATTTTGTGAGGAGGCCCCATGCAGTGCTGTGATGCCAGAAGGGCCCACAATGGGGGGCTGGAGGCTCCCCCCAGCAACAGTACTACCCCTTCCCTACCCCACAGAGCCTCCTGCATTTCCTGAGTGGACATTCAGTGGGGCCTCTCAGACCACCACCCCAAAGGCAACTAGAGTAGTAAGCCCTAAGCCTAGAACTGGTTCCCTATGGGGTGATGACACCCCCTAGGGGGTGTTGTAGAAACTTGGAGGAAGCATTTCTAGGTGTCCTAATGACTGGGGATGCCACTGGCATTTACAGGCTGGGGCAGGGACACAAAGAACTGTCCCATATCCCATGTGACTTGCCAATATTACCATGGACATTCATGTATTTATGGGTGTGATGTTCCGTTTATATTTATAGTCTAGAACATGTTTTACATACAAACCGAGTTTTTGGTGTGGTTTTAATTTATACTGAATTTTCCAGGAATGCAACTTCTGAGGGGAGCTTGTAATTTGATTTGTTCACGTCTTTCCCCAAGTTGTTTATTTGGGGCCTCCCTGGTGGCGCAGTGGTTGAGAATCTGCCTGCCAATGCAGGGGACACGGGTTCGAGCCCTGGTCTGGGAAGGTCCCACATGCCACGGGGCAACTAGGCCTGTGAGCCACAACTACTGAGCCTGTGCGTCTGGAGCCTGTGCTCCGCAACAAGAGAGGCCACGACAGTGAGAGGCCCGTGCACCGCGATGAAGAGTGGCCCCCGCTTGCCACAACTAGAGAAAGCCCTCTCATAGAAACGAAGACCCAACACAGCCAAAAAAAACAAAAACAAAGTTGTTTATTTGCTGTTCTGGAAAAACATCAATACCACTCGTGATATGAGTCACTAGAGTGACATATAGTATCTACTACATCTGGACGATGTGCAAGAAACTAACCGCTTCATTATGTTTTCTAGTGTACTTGTGCCCAAAGGTTTACATATGGAAATATTTTATTATCAGTAACTTTTCCTGTAAAAATTCTCTTTTATTTTACAGTTAGAGCATTCCATTTTTCTAGAAATTATGTAAGTTAGAGAAGTTATATTATAAATGAAATTCATTTCACAGTGTGAAAGGGGTGTTACAAAGTTTTGGTTGCAAGGAGGGGACAGCCTTTAAAGTATTATATAAAGCCCCACTTCTCAAACTGGGCCATTCTTCATAATAAACCAGGAGGTAAAAGAAATCAAAGAAAGATTGGACCCATCTTCTTGAAGCATCCATTTTATTAAAAGACTTTTTGAGAGGCAAGGGTATGCCTAACTACTAAGTAATTTAAAACATTTTACTACCCAAACACCTAGACACCTAGATGTGAATTATGGATTGAATGCAAAACTAGCAAGAATTCCAATAAAACAGAGACCCTCTGTGTAAGACTGATTGGGAGCAGCCACTGGACACTGGGATCTGGGAGGGGGGGCCCCCACTGATCTGCCTCAATTAGATCAGCAACTCTGTTTTATGAATGTTTTATGAACTGGGTCCCTGGGTAAGGTTTAGTTTGAACAAAGGAATTCCCCAACCCAAGAGGAATGGGAGAGTGTTGCAAGCCACTGGCCTGGTACACTCCCTGGTGAGTGGTCCAAGGTATGTCTCCCAAGGCAGGTGGCACCCCCTAGTCCTGGAGGCTGCAGACCTGACTGTCCCAGGTGTGGCCCTTGTACAAAACCCAAACCGACTCACCTTCTTGGTTGTCAGGATACCCTGGTTGCTCTCAGGGTGGGTGGTGATGGTAAAATGGTCCCCGTTGTCACCTTCCACGATGCGGTAGGTAGCCTGCCATGCCGGTGAGTTGGGGGCATCCAGATCGGTCACTGTCAGCCTCTGCAGCTCGTGGCCCACTGCGTTCTCAGGCACATGGGCCTCATACTGTCAGTGTGGGAAGCACAGCACAGTCAGAGCGGAGAGACTGACCACCTTGAGAGGCTGTTCCACTCTTCACTGGCTGTGAATCCTCCATCCAACTCCAGGGGCGCCCCATGCCGCTCACCCCTTCCTGGACCGCCCAACCCACTTATTGGGGTTTCAAGGCATGCATGGATGCAGAACATCCCAAGAGTCAGCCTCACAGCTGCTGGGACAGAGCACGGCAATCTTGGGCCTGCTTTCCCTACACCCAGGGGCCTGGCGCTCCAGGAATCTCACTGATCTGGGTGCCCAAGGCCTCACCATTGAGTAGTCACCTATATCTAGCTGAGATCAGAAAGGCATAAGGAAGGTGGCAAGAAGGGCTAGGTGTCTGATTGCTCTGGGGCACTGACCAGGAACTTTTTGGAAATTCTGGAACAGGTGGCAAAGATGGGGAAATCAGCTGTTGAGAACAAATTTTTAATCAGGCCTAAACAATGTTTAGCCGTCAGAGTTACCTACAGGTGGAAGGGGGTGGGTGTCACCTCGACTGTCACTGAGTCCTCTGTCACGTGAGGTGTACAAGCACTCACTGGGGGAATGTGGGCAGGTATAGGTGTGAGGCAAATTAGGACTTTCCATATCAACAAAGATTTTCATATTGAGCACTTGTGTACCTGGGATTGTGTTAAGAACTGTACATAGATTATTTCATTTAAAACTCAGAAAAGTGCAGTAGGAGACAATGGAGCATCATCTCCATTTCACAGATTAGGAAATAGGGCACAGAGAGGTTAGGTAGTTCACCTCAGGTCACAAAGCTCACAAGTGCTGGGACTGGGACTTGAAGCAATGTAGGCTGGTTCTGGAGTTTCATCAGAAAGGAGAAACTTAGTCCTTCATCATCTGACGAGGGAAGAAGGAAGGAAGGGGCATTACCTGCTGGGGCTCAAACACAGGAGCATTGTCATTGGCATCGAGGATTTCCACTATGGCCATAGCCGTGGTGCTGGAGCCGTCCCCGTTCATGTCCGTAGCCTGGATGGTCAGTGTGTACTCAGGGACTCTCTGGGGAGAAAAGGAGAGTGGAAGTGGAAGGCCACTGCGCGTTGGGCACAGCCTTGGGTGTACGGGGAGGGAAGCGGAATGTTCCTCCCTCTAAGTGTTCTCTTGATTCCTGACCCACTGCTTGCCCACTGCAGAAAGGACCAGAAGCAAAGGGTGGAGGGGGAGGGGAACTGTGGATCCAAACGGTTCTCCTGGGCCTGTCGTGGGATGAAGCCTGGGCATTGCTTCCTGACCCTGGGCGGATGCAGAATGGGAGCTTTGAGTGTGGATTTGGGCAAAGGTATTAATTAGGGAACAGGAGGCAACTCTAATATCCATGGAGCTAATTCTGCTTTGTGGCACACACGGGACAAATCTGGGCAATGTGCGTGCTAAGTGAGCCATGCCGAGAGGAAATGAGAAAACCTGCAGAAAGTATTAAACGTCTGTGTTTTACAGCTGCCTCCTCAGCCTTAACGAGATGGTTTGGCAACGTGCCACTGGCCCGAGGGAGCTGCAGGACATCAATGTGGGACACAGCAGCAGCCATTCCCAGCTGACTTGGGTCCCCACTGCTCTGCCCTGGGCTTTGGGGGCAGAGGCTTCCGCTCTGAGCGTCAGACCCCAGCCTGGGCTAGCCTGGGCAGGCAGCACCTTCCCGAAGGGCCACTTACCTCCCGGTCCAGGCCACTGGAGACGACGCTGATGGTGCCTGTGCTCCGGTGGACCGTGAACATGAGGTCCTTTGGCTCTTGACTGTGGATGGAATAAGCAACCACCCCATTGTAGGTGTTGATGGCATCGTCCTCATCCGTGGCTGTCACCTGCATCACAGAAGTGCCTGGAGGGGAGAAGCGCTGATGAGTGTGCAACCTTCCCTTCCAGCTCCGATTCCAGCCTTGCCCACTTCTGGAACTCCGAGAGGCTCCACCCTGCTCGCTGGCTTGGCCCCATGTTCCACTCGTGGCAGAGACTGCTAATTGGTGCCCATTTCCCATTCTCCCCTTCCTTCTTAGAAACATAATCCTCATAATCATTCTAGGCTGAGCACAAGCCCACCGGGAACCAAAACTATTTCGCTTCTTGCAGCTAGCTGTGGCCACGAGACTGAAATCTGACGAATCGGATATACAGCTTTGGGGGAAGCGTTTTTCTGAGTTAAGGGGCTTATTCTTCCCACCCCTTCCCTCCTTCCGGATATAATGGCCAGAGCTCCAGCAGCAACCATGAGGTAATCTTGGGAATAAAGCCAAAACAGCAGAGCAACGAGATGGAAGGAGCCTAGTTCCCCCACACGTTAAAGCACCATTCCAGCCTGGCTTGACCACCTCTAGGCTTCCTCAATACAAAGGGGGAAAAGGTTCCATATTGTTGAAGGTACTGTTTTTCTTCCGGAAATGTCTATTATTGGCAACCTAACCAACTCACATTTCTCTGTAATTCTCCACAACTCAGAGACAAAGGGAGAGGAGGAGCCCTCCTCACCAGCACGGTCTTTGAGGTCATTAATGTCACCTGTTTCTCTAGTCTTTTGCCAGCCCCTCTCACCCTCTTCCCCAGCCTGACAATTCATCTTCTGCTTTCTCTCACCCTTTGCCACCCTCCTTGCAGCTGCCATTTCCCCAAAGAACCTCATGTCAGGTGCTTCATATCACACGGCAGTAGGCATGTGTTATTTCTAATCTTCACAGCTCTTTATTGAGCTTTATTGATATTATCCCCATTTTCAGGTGTGAAGATTGAGGCTCAGAGGTCAAGACCTTGCCCAGGGTCACAGCAGATGACAGACAAAATCCAGATTCAAATATAGGTCTCTGCAGCTCCAAAGCTGCAGCTGGCTGATCATCTGAAGCTTCTGGGAAATTTTCAAATACACAGATTCTGGGGCTCTACTCCAGCATCATTCTTATTCAGGGGTCTTGGGATGGAGTGGGGGAATCTGGATTTTTAAGAAGATCCCAGGTAATCTGAGGCACAGCCCAGGAAATCAGGTGTGAAGGGTTCTTCCAGCCTTTAAGAGTCTGGACTGATTCCAGAAGTGGACCCAAGGCCAGGTCTGGGGCCAGCAGACCTCTATAGCTGTGCCTTCCCCAGTCCTCTTACCGGGTAGTACCCCTTCCAAGACGCTCCCTCTGAAGACATCCTGGGTGAACTTGGGCTTGTGGTCATTCTGGTCTGTTACGATGATGGAGATGTTCATGGGCTCTTCCACGGAGGCACCGTTCTCCGACACAGCATGGCCAAAGAGCTGTAGGTACACAGGCCTGGGGTCAGCCTGGCACTACCCTTCCTGGGCCCCTGCTTCTCGTTGGACGCTAAAGGTTACTTACCTCATACTCGGCAATTTTCTCCCGGTCCAGTGGTTTATTCAACAGCAACCAGCCCGTTTCCTTCTCTATGGTGAAGACACCCTCAGGGGGGCTGTCTGCCCCAGGCCCCGTGATGCTGTAGAAAATCTTGGTGCCTCTGTCTTTATTAGATTTGAGCTGGAAGCAAAAGAAAATGGCAGCTGACAAAGTGACAAATATCTCATGATTGTAGCAAAGAACCCTCTGTGGGGAGGGGTGGAGAGGCACTGCCTGATTAGAAATTGCTCCCATCAGAGAGTTTCCCTCTGCGGTCCCCAGGGTTCAGCAGCAAGAAACCTCATATTCAGGCCTTTGAATGAGAGTCCCTGAAGACACCAATGACTCCCAGGGAGAAGGCACAGTCATACCTGATGCAGCTTCTGGGGGAAGGGACCCTTGCCATTCTCAGGGACAAATATTGGCGGGACCACCCAATCTCTCTTGCGTCTTCGCAAGATACGTTTGGATGGGGAGATCTTCAATGCTTTCCTTTCCTGCAAGGAGAGAAGACCCCTTAACCCAGGTGTGCAAACAACTGGAACATACCCAACATCCTCTCATCTACAGGGGCTCATGGCAAGGACAGAGGCCCAGATGGGTTTATTGTAAAAGAAAACTTGGAAATAATCTAAGTGTTCACTTATAGAGAAGTCCCAACTAAATACACTATAATACATCCATCTAGTGGAAATTGTATACAGCTTGAAAAATGAGGGATGTCTCTCTGTGCTGGCATGGAAAGATCTTTGATATATATCCATACTTAAGTGAAAAAGAACAAGATATAGAACAGCTTAATGCAGTTTAGTATTTTATTTAACAAACACTTACATAGGGCTTAACATGTGCCAGGCACTGTTCCATCTTTTGTGTAAAAGGGTGGGAAAATAAGGCATATATTCACATCTGCTTATATACAGACAAAGTGTGGGGGATACTAGAAGCTTATAACGGTGCTTATCTGTGAGAAGGGGATGGGCAGTGTACTGATGTATTTTTCAGTGCAAAAAGAAGGTGCAGACATGTGAATAGTATGTTAGTTTTGCATAAAAGAGGACCGAAAAGTTTATTTTATACCTATATATAATATATATAAATATATTTAATATAAATATAGAACAAATACATAAATTAGAAGGAAAGAAACTGGTAACAGGTCTTCTCTTGGAGGGGTAGAGAGGGCATTAGACATAGGGGGAGAAAAAAGGGGAGGTTATTCATTCTAAAACTTTTTAATATTTAAAATTTTGAACCATGTGGATATATTAGCTGCTCAAAAAATTAAATTAGACAAAACAAAGAAATGTGGCCAAGAGCCTCAGGTCCATCTTCCCAAAGGTTCATGAGATTGGCAGTCCTGTGTTGGGATCACCTTCACTTGCGGTTTACCGGCATGATATGGGAAAGAAGGAAAGGGAGAGATGGGACAGGGAATTCAAGGGAGGAAGGGCACTGGGCCGTTACTCACAAAGCAGCTCTGGGCCCCCCTTGCCTGACTCTGGTGCCCCCTACTGGGCAGCTGCAAGCACTACCCTGCTTAGATCGCTACCCACGCGCAACTGGGTCTAACCCTGCGTCCTCTGCAGGGGTAACATGGCTCACAACAGCCACGGCAACCTCGGCCTCCTGGCCAGCAGCAAGCTGGGCATGCACGGAGAATGTCTTTCTTCTCTCCTGAAGGTGGACATGGTGTTTTACCTGGACTGTTTTGTTGTTCAGAACAGTGAAGTCATCATCAGTCAGCAGGGCCAACTCTTGCCCAGGGCAGTCCGTGAAAACCACTGTGGGGAAGAAAGGAAAAGAGTATTAGGAAGGAGGGGCTTCTGGAAGATACCCCATGGGAGCCAAGACCTGACAACAGCCCCCTGACTGGATCAAGGACTATTGCAAGCCACTGCAGAAGGAGACTTGGCTTACTTCCTCTGACCAGCAATGTGATCACATACGAGTTTCAGATGGGCTTCTGAGTTTGGTCTCAAGAGAGCAGACCACTTCCTGGTTTGTGGGCTGAAGAACCAAAATCATAGATATTCAGCGACATTAGCCCCATGGAGTCTCACGAGACATAGAGTTGACCCAAGGTCACAGCTGGAGGCAGAAGATTTTAAGCATTTCCGAAGGCTATGAGTCTACATATGCGCTGTATGCATCCTGCTACACCGTCACCCACACAGATCATTCTGGATAACCTCGGGTTGTTGCAGTCTGTCATGCTCCTTCTGAATCCTCCCTGCTTGGCCGCCCTTTAAACAAGCACTCTGAGTTAATAACTACCATTCGTTAATCCGGAGACTGGGCCCATTTCATCTTTACAACTATGCTGCCAAGTTAGGCATGAGCTCCTTTACAAAGATGAGAAAACTGAGGTTCAGAAGCCAGGTCAGCCTGACTCCAAGGCATACGCTAGAGAGTATTCACAACCAGTGTTCTTACCCACCCTTCCTTGTGGCCAAAGCATGGAGTCAGGAAACCTGCCAGGGGCTCCAACTGGGCCCATCGGCAACATGCCCTGACCCAGGCGTTCCCATAACGCTGGCCCAGACACCAGCACTCATCAGTCTACTAGGCTGCAGCACAACAAGGACCAGAGGGACAGCGCTGTGCCATGGAAAGGTCAGCGAGAGCTCTGCCAACTGTCCTTTCCTGAAAAATTGTCCTTTAGTTTCAAATGATGACGACAATTGTTTTAAATAATCCTTCCCTAAAATAAGAAAGGATAACAGATGAGGGTTTTTAAACTACAAAAGTAATGTGACAGAAGGAAGAAGAAGTACAATCCTGCAGCCTGTGGAACAAAAACCACATTCACAGAAAGACAGACAAGATGAAAAGGCAGAGGGCTATGTACCAGATGAAGGAACAAGATAAAACCCCAGAAAAACAACTAAATGAAGCGGAGATAGGCAACCTTCCAGAAAAAGAACTCAGAATAATGATAGTGAAGATGATCCAGGACCTTGGAAAAAGAATGGAGGCAAAGATCAAGAAGATGCAAGAAATGTTTAACAAAGACCTAGAATTAAATAACAAACAAACAGAGATGAACAATATAATAACTGAAATGAAAACTACACTAGAAGGAATCAATAGCAGAATAACTGAGGCAGAAGACGGATAAGTGACCTGGAAGATAGAATGGTGGAATTCACTGCTGTGGAACAGAATAAAGAAAAAAGAATGAAAAGAAATGAAGACAGCCTAAGAGACCTCTGGGACAACATTAAATACAACAACATTCACGTTATAGGGGTCCCAGAAGGAGAAGAGAGAGAGAAAGGACCAGAGAAAATATTTGAAGATATTATAGTCGAAAATTTCCCTAACATGATAAAGGAAATAGTCACCCAAGTCCAGGAAGTGCAGAGAGTCCCATACAGGATAAACCCAAGGAGAAACACGCTGAGACGCATAGTAATCAAATTGGCAAAAATTAAAGACAAAGAAAAATTATTGAAAGCAGCAAGGGAAAAATGACAAATAACATACAAGGGAACTCCCATAAGGTTAACAGCTGATTTCTCAGCAGAAACTCTACAAGCCAGAAGGGAGTCACATGATATACTTAGTGATGAAAGGGAAGAAACTACAACCAAGATTACTCTTACCCGGCAAGGATCTCATTCAAATTCGATGGAGAAATCAAAAGCTTTACAGACAAGCAAAAGCTAAGAGAATTCAGCACCACCAAACCAGCTCTACAACAAACGCTAAAGGAACTTCTCTAAGTGGGAAACACAAGAGAAGAAAAGGACCTACAAAAACAAACCCAAAACAATTAAGAAAATGGTCATAGGAACATACATATCGATAATTACCTTAAACGTGAATGGATTTAATGCTCCAGTCAAAATACATGGGCTTGATGAATGGATACAAAAACAAGACCCATCTATATGCTGTCTACAAGAGACCCACTTCAGACCTAGGGACACATACAGACTGAAAGTGAGGGGATGGAAAAAGATATTCCATGCAAATGGAAATCAAAAGAAAGCTGGAGTAGCAATACTCATATCAGATAAAATAGACTTTAAAATAAAGAATGTTACAAGAGACAAGGAAGGACACTATGTGATGATCAAGGGACCAATCCAAGAAGAAGATATAACAATTATAAATATATATGCACCCAACATAGGAGCACCTCAATACATAAGGCAACTGCTAACAGCTATAAAAGAGAAAATCGACAGTAACACATTAACACCTCACTTACAACAATGGACAGATCATCCAAAATGAAAATAAATAAGGAAACAGAAGCTTTAAATGACACAATAGACCAGACAGATTTCATTGACATTTATAGGACATTCCATCCCAAAACAGCAGATTACACTTTCTTCTCAAGTGCACATGGAACATTCTCCAGGATAGATCACATCTTGGTCACAAATCAAACCTCAGTAAATATAAGAAAATTGAAATCATATCAAGCATCTTTTCTGACCACAACGCTATGAGATTAGAAATGAATTACAGGGAAAAAAACGTAAAAAACACAAACACATGGAGGCTAAACAATACGTTACTAAATAACCAAGAGATCACTGAAGAAATGAAAGAGGAAATCAAAAAATACCTAGAGACAAATGACAATGAAAACATGACAATCCAAAACCTGTGGGATGCAGCAAAAGCAGTTCTAAGAGGGAAGTTTATAGCTATACAAGCCTACCTCAAGAAACAAGAAAAATCTCAAATAAACAATCTAACCTTACACCTAAAGGAACCAGAGAAAGAAGAACAAACAAAACCCAAAGTTAGCAGGAGGAAAGAAATCATAAAGATCAGAGCAGAAATAAATGAAATAGAAACAAAGAAAACAATAGCAAAGATCAATAAAACTAAAAGCTGGTTCTTTGAGAAGATAAACAAACAAACAAAAAGTAATGTGAACATGATGAAGTATTCAAACAGTATATAAGAGTGTAACATTAATAAAAAAAGAGTATAACATTAAAAAGTAGAATTCCAAACAATATCCAGACTATACAGTGAACTCCTAAAACTCAAGAACAACAAAAAACAAACAACCCAATTAAAAATAAGTAAATAAAAAGGCAAAGGAGTTGAAAAGACATTTCTTCAAATAAGGTATACAAAAGGCCAATAAGCATATGAAAAAATGCTCAATATCATTAGTCATTAGGGAAATACAAATCAAAATAACAATGAGATACCACTTCATACCTACTAGGGTGGCAAAAAAAAAAAAGTAAATAACGAGTGTTGGCAAGATGTAAAGACATGAGAACCCTCCTGCACTGGGAATGTGAAATGGTGCAGCCACTGTGAAAAACAGTTTGGTGGCTCCTCAGAAGGTAAACATAAAATTACCACATGATCCAGCAATTCTACTTTTAGGCGTATACCTAAAAGAACTGAAGTAGGATCTCAAACAGATACTTGTACCCATATTTTCATAGTATCACTATTCACAATAGCCAAAAGATGGAAACAACACAAGTGTCCATCAAGAGATGACTAGATTGGGGCTTCCCTGGTGGCGCAGTGGTTGAGAGTCCGCCTGCCGATGCAGGGGACACGGGTTCGTGCCCCGGTCCGGGAAGATCCCACATGCCGCGGAGCAGTTGGGCCCGTGAGCCATGGCCGCTGAGCCTGCGCATCCGGAGCCTGTGCTCCACACGGGAGAGGTCACAACAGTGAGAGGCCCGCGCACCGCAAAAAAAAAAAAAAAAAAAAAAAAAAGAGATGACTAGATAAACACAATGTGGTCTATACATACAATGGAATATTATTCAGTCTTTAAAAGGAATAAAGTTCTGACACATGCTGCAACATGGAAGAATCTTGAAAACATTATGCTAAGTAAAATAAGCTAGTCACAAAAGGGCAAATACTGCATGATTCCACTTACATGAGGTACCTAGAATACTCAAATTAATAGACATAGAAAGTAGAATAGAAGTTACCAGGGGCTGGAGAGAGAGGGGAATGGGTAGTTATTGTTTAATGGGTACAGAGTTTCTGTTTGGAATGATGAAAAAGTTCTAGAGACAGACTATGGTGATGGTTGCACAACAATTTGAACGTACTTAACGTCACCGAATTGTTTAAAATGGTCAAATTTTATGTTATGCATATTTTACCTCAATAAAAAAAAAAGTAGAAGTCTGATGTGGGAGTGTAAAATGGGATAGTCATTTTGGAAAACTGTCGAGCAGTATTTGCTGAAGCTAAATATACACCTTCCCCAAGACCCAGCAATTTTACTTTGAGGTATAGACCCAACAAAGATACATTCACTAAAAGACAAGTATTATAATAGCCACAGCAGCACTGTCTATAATAGCTAAAGACTGGAAATAGCCCAAATGTCCATCAAGGTAGAATGAATAAAAATATGGTGGAATATTCATATAATTAAATGAGTCAACCACAAGGACATACAACAACATGAATGAATCTTACAAACATGGCTGAGTGACAGAAGCCAGATACAAGAGAGGACACATGTATGATTCCATTAACATGAAGTTCAAAAGCAGGTAAAACTAACTTGGGTGAAAGAACTTAGGACACTGGCCATCTTTTGGGGAGAGGCTTAGTGCATGGAGGGGAGGAAGATGGAGGGCTTAAAAGCATACAGAGCTGCCTTCAGCTCCCCAGAGCCCCAGAGCTCATACACAGAGGCAGGTTCCTTCATGGGAAGGCTGGAGTGTGCCCCTGAGAAAGAGAAGATTGCTTAGATACCGGCCCTGCCTCCTTGACAACATCCCCACTGAGGAGTCATGGGCTGTGACAACATGCTCGGCCG